TGCGTTTAGGAGATGGTCTAAATTGATTCCTGCCATCTTAAGTATACAGAGGATAGGAAGGAACAGGTAAGAAGCCAACTCACGTCAATGGAAAGACTTCCACTGACTACAGTGGCCTTCAGATTAAACTCCAAACATTTCTTTTAGATGCAAAAAAAATAGTTTATTTGGTAAGTGTTTTTGTCAATTTAGGTCTATAATGTTTGTAATTCTTTGCATTGTTATACTAATGAAATATTTCCCAGGTTGCGTGCAACCTACCCAAACAAAGTAAAGGCTCTTGGTATTCTGTGTGTATAGTGTTTCTCCTGCATGCCCTGCCCTCAGGATATTAAATTGGTCCTAGATGTCCAAAATGACTGCCTGTAACTCTTCACGTGGCAGTCACAGTGGCCAAGAATAACTGTGCGCTGCTGCTTATGAGAGAATGCTCTCGGATCTCCCTGGTAATATATATATATTATTATATATTATTATATATTATTATATATTATATATATTTTATTATTATAATTGAAATAAAATATTGTAATAATAATAATAGTTATAACTGTTCTTATCTTAAAACTGTTCTTATCTCAACTCACAAGTGTGCTCACTTTTACTCTTCTGATTCTCTCCCCCATCCCACCGGGGAGGGGTGAGCGAGCAGCTATGTGGTGCTTAGTTGCTGACTGGGGCTAAACCACGGTATAGGTGTACTGATGGAAAAAACATGTGAAAACCTAGCTTCTGCTGTGGTCATTTTGGTGTTCCCTGCATAATGGAGAAGTTCAGTCTTGAGGGCTCTGATAACTTTGAAAGCAAGTCAAAAAGTAGGTAAAAGTAGATTTCTTTCCCCCTCCTCAAAACAAAGCAGTGTAAATGCTTCCAAAGCTTGTTTTCAGCCATTCCCATGGACGTACAAATAAGACATTGCAATTCCTACTTTATTAGGAAATTGCTTTTCTTGTTTTGATATAGGTGTAACAATTTGCTACCTGGTGGTGGATGCAGGGTAGCCAAAGACTCCCCTGGCTTTGCTCCTTCTGGCTTGAATCCCAAGCGATAGTGGTGCCTAATGACATAGCAGAGCACCTGGAAGCGTATGCCAGCACAACTGTAATCTTATGAAAATCAGAAGGCATGTAGGCATGTACCAGAATTACTAACCATAGAGATTCAAAAATCATGAGTGTGGTTGCAAAAAAACAAGACAAAAACAATCCACCTTCCTGTAAATCTGGCATAGAAATTATGGGATTATCAGGACAGTGACGCACACACACACCCCTTTTAGATTGTCTATATTTTACTTTCAGATTTTTAACTTGAGAAGTCATTCGTTTGACTTTCCCTGTACTGTTGTGACAGAAAAGGAGATTTTTGGTTTTGTTGAAAGAGGATATTAGGTTGTAATTTGCATGCTTTGGCATGCTTCAGCAGTTGAGCCCATAGAAAGGATACAAAGTATCGTTTGTTTCTTAGTCACAGTAAAGTCATAAGTATTAATGATGATTTTTAAATTAAGTGTGCACCATTTGATTGCTGAACTATAACCTTAAAATCACAACTAGGTGAAATATTCAGAGTAGGAAATCCAAGAGCACTGAGCTAACAAGATAAAAACATTTGAACAGGTCCTTGAAGTGTGCTACTAAATATGGATGCAGATGTTTTTAATGAATATTTCATCTAGGGGACCTTACTAATTAAGATCTATGTCTCCAGTGAAACTTGAAAAACTACTGTTGTTCTTTTTAGAATTTAACTCTATGTCACCTTTGTTAAATGGTCTATGTGTAAATTGGCTTCTGTGTTTTCTGGCATGGGTAAAGGAGAATAAAGGGATAAAGACTCCATTATCTTTTCTTGTATTGTTCAAGAGAGAGGTTTTGGCATTCTTTATGTGAAACTGATGTTTATTTCAGGAACTTACTGAGTTGGATTTGAATGTTCTGTTTTCAGTCATATCAAGATTTCTAGAATTATCACGATGGGGCTGAAATTTTGTAAGGGTGTAACTATTTGGACAAAATGTAGAAAAAATCAAAAGCATTGCATTGCATTTTCATCTTCATAGGAAAACTGTTTTCTGTCTGAAGTATGGAAATGGCCAAGTTCAAAACCCAAAGAGGAGCATTAAAGAAAAGTATTATAAATATTTATGTCAGCATTTGTAGGTATTTAACTGGGTTGCTGGCTATAGAATATGTGTTGTGGTTTTAGCGCCCTTCTGTGAAGCTCATCCAAAGCCTGTAGGTCATATCACTTACATGATGCTCTGTAAGGGCTTGCATGATACATAGGCTTTCTTCTTGCCTCCTGGATGGGGTGAATATGTCTCTCTCCCTGCATCCATATATTTCATAGACGTTATTTGCTATGTTCGTTAAGTGGAGAATAAAATCCATAACATTTAGTGAAGACTGGAAAAAAAGCAATGTCAGATTTCTTTTTGTTGTACAGAACTCTGGGGTCATGAGTATAATCAAATTTGCTGTCGTTTTTCTTACTACTCTTGTTGCTGTTATGGTTATCATTATTTGTGTCACTGTCATCCTTAGGAGCTCCAAATGTGGGCTGTTACTGCATTGGTGTAGGTGCAGAACAAAAAACCTTTGAAAGCTTGTACAAAAGGATGTGAGAAAGACAACACTGACACCAGGAGAGAGTACAGGTGAAATGTGGAACAGACTTCTTTGGAGTGATTGCTGTGGTGTCTGGCAGTCAAAGAGTTTTTAGGTTGTTATAACCATCAGGACATAGGTGGGACTTTGAAGAAGGCATTTTGCAGATATTTATAGTGACTGTCTTGCAAGTGAGAGAATAGGGAATTTCCTGAGAGTGTCTTTGTGCTCACTCTGCGTTCCTGCTCCATCATGGGGACTGCAGTCCAGAAAGGAAGAAAACTGAAGCAATTATGTCAGTTGTGGAAAGCAGGTTGCTTATGGATTTGTGAACTAATTCCCTAATGGCCCTCTGTGACCCACTGTGAGACACAGATTTAGGAACTGGTTAAAATAATACCCTTGAGGATCCAACAGCATAGATAGCTAACCTGAGGCTTCACAGCAGCTGCAGGGGTTATTGCAACCTTGAGGCTGCAGTGGCTGCCACAGATAGCCTC